TCCCTGGGTTTCTGTTTTTAAGTCTGTGTGATGGTTCCTGGAAATGTGCCGGCGTTTGTTGCAATCATTTAAAAGGGGGGGGAGTTGGTGCAGGAACTGAACTTTTCTGGGTGAAATAAAATGACGGGGTGTGACCCTCACAAGCGCGTGAGTCGCTGTGTGTGTGTGTCAGTCTCTAAGGTGCCAGAGGGCTGCTTGGTTTTAAAGTTACAAGCTGACACAGCTCTATGGCTTCTAGGCCTTTTGTGGCAAGAGAGGTGACAGCTGAGTTACCTGTGCCATCTGGGTCACTGAGCTGCCATCTCTAAGGAGGGAGCCAGGTCTGGGGAATTTTGGTGGCTCCTTTTTTTTTTTTTTTAAGGACTTGGACACTGATGCACACATTCTCTCATGCATACATGTGTGCAGCTTCCACTGTGTTGCCATGCTTTAACAGACTTGGGTTTATGCTTAAGTTAATTTATTATTAACATAAACACATCTAGCTTGTGTAATGTGTTGAATTTTTGAACATAATCAGTGTAGTCGTGTACTTGAAATTCTGTACATGTAAGTTCCAGGGAAGACTGTTAACATTTATTATTATTATTATTTATTTATTTGATTAGCTTTTGTAAAACTGGATTTTTTGTCAAAAATCAGTAAAATCATAAAGAGACTTGTACATTGATTAGGCATATGTGTATCAGATTGGGCGTGCATGATGTATGTCATCTACTCTGTGCGGAGTGCGGTTATGTTGATGATGGTTGTGTCTCTGGGAAGTATATGTGTAGCAGAGGGAGGGAGATATGCGACTATATTACTTTGTGTTTGTGAGATTCATGTGTGCATGTGCAGGTCTGTGAGCTTGCATGTTAGTGTTTGCACATTTCTGGGCATGGATGCGCTTGCTTGTTACATCTGTGTGCGGGTTAATGTGCTCTCATTTGGCTTGTGTGCATGTATGTGTGTGGGAATGGGGCTGACATGCATGTGTACACGTGTGCATTTCAGATCCTGGTTTGTGAGTCTCAGGCTGTCAGTAACATTCTGTCTTGGAATCCGGGAGTTGGAAACCGGGAGTTGACGGTGTCATGTAACCTGTCTTTTTGGCACATAACATGCTGAGCTGCTTAAATTAGAATTGTGTAGCTGCCCCAGATAATGACAAAAGGGAATGGACGCCCTGGGACAGAAACTGAGAGGGATTTTTTTGGGGGGAAGGACAAGACTTGGAGGTGAGTCTTCTCCTTTGCTTAGCCCACGCTGCTAGAAACCTGGTTTACTTCCCTCCCAAGTATTCCCAGATCATTTATCTCACTCCATGTTATAAGATGTTCCCTCCGCAGAGAGAAATTAAATTTAAACCCGCCTTGTTTCTTGCAAGTATAGTGGAGGAATGAAGAGGCAGGAGATGGACTGGCTGCTACAGGGGCTGACCCCCTCTTGGGGGCCTGGAAAAGGCTGTGGAGGATTTCACTCTAGGCTTTGTTAATGGTCTTGATCTCTGGTTGGGGGTGAGTGGAAAGGAAACTGAAATAATATTCAGCTGCATACGAGGAGTTCTTTCAGCTCATAGCCTTGGGGGTTCCTCTGCCCGGTTGCTGTCTGCCTACGGGGGTTGGACAGTCCTGATAAATCTTTATCCTACTGGCTGCGCTTTGACTAACCCATCCAGTAAAATCCAATACAGTCAATGCGTGCTGTAGACAGACCTGTCAGGAATGCAGAGACAGCCAGTTGTATCCAGTTGGGAGGAAAACTTCTCTGACAGCATGTGGCCTGGAGGGCTGTCAGGCTAGCTGGAGAACTGGCTGGAAAAGCACTTATGGAAGTGATCCTTAGGTTCTTAGGTGAAAGGCTCAAGAAGTAGAGAATATGACTACATGGAGTAAGAATTTCTGGGCCCACCTGCACATTGGAAGGGAAAGCTAAAAATGCCTGTTAATGGATACCAGGATTTACCTGGGACTGCCAGGCAAGTGGAGAGACTTTAATGAAGCATGAGCCAGAGAGAGTTACACCGGGTGGGAAGACAGTGTAATCTAGTGGGCAGAGCAGGGGACTGCAAGTCAGGTCTCCTGTGTGCTTTTTCCCAGTCCTGGAAGGAGAGGAATTAGTAGATAGAACAGGGGACCGGGAGTCAAGAGTCCTTTGTGTGCTTTATAACCCAGCTATGGAAGGGAGTGTGGACTAATGGTTAAAGAAGAGACTTCTGGGTTCTGTGCCTGGCCTTGAAACTGATTTTTCTGTGACATTGGCCAAATCTCTAACCCTGTTCGTGCCTTGGTTTTTCTGTCTGTAAGATGACATCAATGCTCATTTGTAAAACAGGATATGTATAGTTACTGTGTGGGAAGGCCTTGAAAGTCCTTATGTGAAAGGCACAAGTCGTAGAGAATCTGAATACATGGAGTTAGAATTTCTGAGCCCACCTGCAACCCACTAGTTATCAGCATAATGGTGCTTTAGATACTGTGACTACCACTTGTCTTAACTGATGGGTGCAAAGGTGAGGGGCTATATTCGATCTGTATGCCCGGAGGTCTCGTTCACTTCAGCAGAATAGCATGGAGGAGTAAGTCAGGGCAGTGGGGGGCCAACAGAATTCCTGGAGTTCTGGGCAAGGTGAGGGAGGGGGGCTAGCTCCACACACCCAGAAGGGGTGGGACTGGGGGGCCCTACTCAGACTGTGCTCCCCCCTCTTCCCCTGCCAGGCCTTAGCACCACCCTAGAGCATGCTGCCTGGGACTCTGGTCGCGATTTAAAGGGCTGGGGGCTCTGTCTGCCACAGTAGCAACAGCTACGTCCAGGAACTACAGGACCTTTTGAATTGCTGGGCCCTGGTGCAGTTTCCTCCTTTGTCCCTATGTTGGCTGGCCTGCCCCCCAGTGTTTGGAAGGGTAATTACCCTAAGAGCTGGTGGACATTTTGTGTGAAAAGTTGACCCTGTGGGCCCAGCTGGACCTGGACACATTTTCTATGTCGCTTTCCTACAACCGAGCCACCAGCTGAATTGCATGCAGCCCTCTGGCCCTGTGCAGAGGGCGTGGGAAGGCGGCATCTGTGTGCGCTCTCCCTGCTTGGCAAAACTCTCAGGTGTGATAACCCTTTGTCAGCTGAACTAAGGGATGGTTGCAGGGACCTGCTGGGAGGCAGGCCGCTTCAGCTGTGCCCTGTGATCAGGGCTTGCCAGGTCTGTGTGACATTGGATCCCAGGATCGTTATTTGTCCCTAGACATCCTAAACCCGTTGAGTATTATTTGGGGTCATCCTGCGTCTCGCTGTCCCCACTCATAAGGGATGTGTTTAGCATGGTGGAGAGCATTAGGCCAGCCTGGAGAGACAAACTACAGAGACAAAGCACTCGGAGGGTTAATCTCTCCTCCTCACACCCTTGCGCTGTTGATCTTGGCCTCCCATTTTGTATTTGACTGCTGTGGTCTCTGTCAACAAGATACATCAAAGTAGCCTTTGTGCTCCTTTCCCGGGAAGGAGCTGGTTTATGGAAGGGTGTAGAAAGTCCAAGCCGCTTGGCTCAGGTAGGCAGTGGAGGAGGAGGAGATGGAAAGAGCCGGCTCACACAGAGAAGACTGCAGGTGGATTGATGGTGTCTCTTTTCCTGGGCACAGAGGTAATAATGCATGATGTGAGGGGATGCGAGCTGCTTGGCATGGTGTTAAAATCCCATTTCAGCTTCCTGTTGGGAGCTTTGTGGGGATCAGGTCAGATCACAAATGTAGTGGCTTGGCTGGCAAGAATAATTAGCCACTCAAGAAGTCATCTATTAGTAATGGCCAGGGAGAAACCCACAGCAGCAGCCCAGGTTTATATATCGAAGCGGCGCCACATTTTTTGCAGAGGAGGAATATGGCGACCGTTGCATCCAGATGGGACAGCTAGGTGGTTTTTTTTTCTTGTCATGGTCTAGGGATGGAAGAAGGTTGCAGAAGGACGGCTGTGTGCTGAGTCGTGCTCAGAAAGATGGGCAGGGCTTGGGTTTTGTCCACCGGATTCAGAGTCCCTGGTCAGCAAGAAGGCACTGGGGTCAGAGCCCAGGCTGGGGAGCCAGGTATCTTGCTGTGAGGCTAAGGACCAGGCTCCTAAAGCGCATGTGCAAAAGGCATCCGTTTCCAAAGGCACAACCCCGACAGCTGCCCGGAGCCCAGGAGCATAGCCTGCGAGGGGAGGGGAGCCGCACAAGTACCTAGATTAGCAGATCTCAAACGGTGGGTTGGGAATCCAAAGTGGGTCACGGCTAGGGATGTAAAATCCCGTTTATTTAGTTAATTGGTTAAGCATTAAGTTTAACTGGTTAACTGATTAAATGGGGATGGACTGGGGGGAAGGGTGCTTCTTCTGACCCTACTCTGGGCTGCTGGCTGCCAGCCCATGCAGACTGGGGGATGCCCCTGGAGAACGGTCCTAGTCAGGACCCCATTGTAATGGGGCTACCAGATCTGTTATTAGACTTGCTGGGGTCTGGAGCTGAAGCCCTGCCTAGCCCAAACCCCACACCCAGGCCTGAAGCTGAAACCTGAATCCCGCTGCCCAGGGCAGATGTCTGCAGGCATCCTCTCGTGAGTGCCAGGGTTCAAGTTATAGGCCCTTCTCCTGGGATTCAGCTTTGGCTTCCCAACTCGGGCAGCAGGGCATGGGCATGCTCAGGCATGTGCACTGTTAGAAGGTCTCTCTGTAAGCGAGTTGCTTCCCCTCTGATCTGCCTAAAACTGGTTTACCTTCCAAGGAGGTTTATAGGCAGAAAAAGGGTCAAGCTGAAGAAGTTGGACTCTTGATCTAGACTTTTCCAAGCTCCAGGGTGTTCGGGTTCAGGGCTTTGGTTTAGCTCGTTCTACAGATTTGTAGCCCTTAATTATGAAACTAGGTTCAAACCCAGAATTAAAAGGATGTTGGGATGTGAATAGGTAACCGGTTACCCAGCAAGCTTCACCCTTAACGGGAAATGCTTACTGGGTTATGGTTATCTGGGAGAAGCCCATGGCTCGCTGTGCTCAGAGGGCTGCTCCAGCCCCATAGGGCTACTTGTTCCCAGTCCTTGTGGGGCCAGAAGGAGCAGCTGGGGGCAGCCTTGCACAGCCGGCATCCTCCCCCAACGGCTGCCACTTCCAGTTCAGCGAAGCTGCCGACTCTCAATCCACAAGGGCTGGGAGCCCGCAGCCCAGCATGGGGTTAGAAGAAGCCAGCTGGAGCAGCCCCCTGCCCATCCCAGTTTAATCAGTTAACCAGTCAAACCTAACATTTAACTGGTTAACTAATTAAATGGGATTTTACATTCCTTAAACAATGCCCAGATCTCGGAGGTTTGTTTGTAAAGAAGGGTTCTCTAATTGGGAAGATTGGTTATTTGAATGTTACTGAAGGGTTTAGAAAAGTTTAGATCTAAATTCCAAACTCTCTAGCTTGACCCTGCTTCTGCATCTCCTCCTTCCACTTGCATGATGCTAGGCCCCATGTGACATGGGAAGGAAACCCCCCTCTCTGGAGATGAGGTTTTGGCTCTCTTCTGAGTTTCTTGGGGGCTTGATTGTTTTTGTTGGACAGACATTTAGCCTCCTAGTTTCCTATGCAGGGTGCTCCCCCTCTGGCTTATCTTGTGGCACCTACTGCTCGCTACTATCTACATCCTCATCTGAACAGTAGCTTCTTCATCAGAGCAGGCTTTGCGTGTGTGTGTGTGTGTAATAAATGACCCGTTGGGTTCCAAGCAGAGTCCGCCAAACCTCAAATTTGAACCAGTCTTCAGAGGTGAAAGGCTAGAGCTTTCATCTGCTCCTCCATCTGTCTTCTCTGCCTTAGTGCTCTTTTCCATTCACCCCACATCCTCCCTTCTGGGGTAGGCTCAGGAATTTGGCCCAGCTACGTGATCTGGGAGGTAGAATGGAAAGGGGCAGTTAGTATTCTCCTCCCTTCTGTACAAATGTTTATACCCTGCGATAGGTGGATCTAATCCAGAGTAGAGGTGGGAGCCCCCCTCTTCACAGGGGCCAGGTAAGGGGCAAAGTTTTGTGGCATGGATTGGATTCTTCTGGACATTGTGCTGGTATAATTAAAACCATTGAAGTATTGCCCCTGGGACAAGGGACTGTGTCCAGTAGCTGTTAACATTGTACGGCAGGGATGGGGAGCCTGGGGCCGCTGACCCACAGAAAAATCAGTCAGGGGCCGCACAAAAGTGAGAAGCGCAAAAAACCCCAAAACAAGACTCTCACTGAAGCAG